GACCATTTTTCAAATTTTTAATTTTTTTTAATTTTTTTATCAGAATGGGCCGACCGTTTGGGTCAAACGGTTGGACTGTTCAAACCGGTAACCGGATCCTTGACCGGTTCCGTCACCGGATCGATTTTAAAAACCACGCATGCATGTATGTAGCAAAGGAAGACCCATTCAGGCTACTTGTATATTATTAGAAACCAAAAGGTTTCGCTGCCTTGAAAATGCAAGTTTTACCCAAAGCTTGGTCCAAGTTCAGCACTCCGGCTTATGAAAGAAAATAAGGGAACGTGGCAGTGTTAATCTGTTGATGAGAATATAGTCTTCTGGCACAATAGTGCGTTTTGCAGAGGCAATCAGGTGGAGTAGTACTCAACAAGAAAGTCGGACAATCTCATTCCCAGTTTAATTAATTACCCAAATTCACGAGTTGCCGCCAAACAAGCTCTAATTCATGATTGATAATTGTTAAGATTAATTAATTCCTTGATCGATCGATTCGAGCCAAATGAGAAGAAGAAAGAAGAAATGTACAAAGAGTCAACTGAAAGTTTAGTTTGAATTTGAAGCCTGGGGCTCTTTCAACTTTTTGAACTGAAAGTTTACAGACCCAAGACTCCAAGAGCCACCTACGCTTCATGGGACATTTTCCAGGGACGTACGGCCAACGAAAAAAAGAAACAACTCAGCCCATCATCGATCCTTCAGACTTCAGAGTTCAGACTCTGAAATGGACCATATGGAACAATTCATCTAAGTTGGAAGCATTGACTAGTGCTTCCCCGTTTTCATGTCTGGAGAGGTTCTGTTCCGACCGGACAATTCGGAAACGGGTCAAGATTGTCACCCATCAATTACCAATATCAGTAGCCAGGCCCAGACTTCAAAGTGTCGCTTTTGAATATGAACCGTTTCTGAATCAATTGAGGTCCCGTTTGTTTCATGGGAATAAGGGCCTAGAATGGGAATCAGAATGGGCTATTCTCATTCTAATTATTTGGTTGGATGGATTCAGAATTCTATTCCCATTTCTGGTGGAATGACATTATTTCATTTGAGGGAATGGTCATTTCCTACCCCTCCTTTGGGATTGTTAACTCTCATTTTCACTTTCATTCCTGTCCTATCTAAATCAACCAGCTTATGGGAATGGACCATTCCAACTACAAACCAAGCGGGCCCTGAATAGGTTAGATTTGTCTAATTTAAATTCAATCCTCACAAATCTGTACTCACAGCTATACATGAGACATATTCTCAACGCACAGCTGTAAGGAACTGTGAATATATAGGATGTAAGAACTGAATCCAAATCTGGATTTGCCAGTTGGGGTTTGAAAATTCTCATTCCCGTCTAGGTTCGATTATTCAGACTATGTTGACTTGGATAGGTATAGATGAATTTTGAAAGGGACGTGAATTGAGTTAATTTTACTTTTTGGAGAAGTAAAAAAGAAAATAAAAGAAACCTCGAAACCTAATTCAACAGCTTAACTACCACCACTATTAAAAGGGAGTTATCAGCTTCAATTTTTTATGTATAGTTGCCGCTCAAAAAAGTTGTTGAATTGTTATAATATTGTTAGTCACCTTATACAGTTTAGTGTAGTGTAAATGAATTATTTTATTTCTTTCGTTTTCTTTGCAATGAAAATGAGGAAATTGGCAGAAATTACAATTGAATTGCAATTGTAAATATCAATTACTATTACACTGACACTAAACCATTGTATTGTATTCCATCCATAGTTATTTAGGCAAGCACAAAGTAATCAAATCTGTTCAAAGTTCAACTGGAGTTCTCTATCAAATATAGTCTTCTTTTGCCCGCTTTGACACAAAAAGTTTGTCCGACTAAAATGGAATCAAGTATATATTCCCATGTACCTACCTCCAATATTGCCACTGCTACTTCCATGGTTGTCGTCGTCTGCAGAACCTCCCAAACAGTCTCAAAGTATTCTCATTGAGAAAATAAAGAAAACACGATATGCATGCAAAAGTAGTCCATATACAGGGAGGTGGGGGTTGGTGGGATGGGATAGACCTTACACCATACATCTTGTTTTCCTCCCAACCCCGAGTCCTAGCGTGGACCTAGCACTCTCCCATTATATATTTGTAATTTTTTTTATGACATACAGAGGGGGTTGGTAAGACCAATCAAGATCTTCAAACCGGGACCCACTGCTTAGCTTATATCCATAATCAACTAACCAGATAAGATTAAACTAAACAGACCTCTGAGCTCTAGCTACTTCCACCTTAATGCGTTCTGCCGTCTGCATTGGCGTTTGGAGCTTTGGATGATATAAAATCGTCCACGACTCTAGGACCCACGGGACGCGCGCGTGCCCAGATATATGGACCAGGAACTGGTGATGGTGAATCGGTGATGTGATGAGGTGTGACCGTCCCATGAGACATAAACCACAGTGTTGAGGTGGGGTGGGTGGTTGATTGGTTTTTACGCATCAGAATTTTGGATTCCACTACTGTAAATCAATAATAATTAGAAATTTTAAACACTGATATCAATCCGTGTATTAGCATCAATTTCGAACTGACAGCTACCCAATTGTAAGATGGAACTAACACCAGTCACTAAAAACCCCGAAAAATTATAACCATTCATAGCGTCCGGCCCTGTGTATACAATATTCTTTTCGGTTAATCAAAATTCACATGATGGACCACACATTATTGTACACTTCCGACATCGTAGATTCACCCGTTTATACTATTTATATCAAAATAAACTCAAAATCTAGGAAAAGGGGTATATGACTCCGTCCAACATTAATTAATTATAATTGGCACCTCACAATCTCACTAGTCCAATCCTCCAAACCGAATAAGCTTCTCTTTCTTTCTTTCTTGGTAACCACTGTAGACTCTTTCTTTGCTTCTTCATTTAAAGTTTAAAAAAGAAAAGAAGAAATACATTTATTTAAACTAACACGTATACATAGACAAGATGGTAGGCCACCAACCACCACCTTTGGGTGTTGGGGTTTTTGGAAGTTAGGCCTATCACGGTTGACTCAATTTTGCGCCTCACTTTCAATCAAAGTTGGGATGAAACATCTATTGTAGAGCCAACAACAGTAGTAGTAAAAAAGAGAAGAAAGTTTTCCATTTCAAAGGATTAACAGGCAGCTCTCTCTCTCTATCTCTGTCTCTCTGCATGCATGAATTCAGTAATTGTTAGGAAGATAATTGTCTTATCAATGAATCTATACAATACGTACGTCATGACTGCACGGTTGTTTTCTAACTAGTTAATGCTAAATTAAACCCCTCCTCTCTCACTCATCTTTCATAGGGTGTGGACTTCGCTTGTCTAATACCAAGTCGTGTGAGCTGTGATGGTGCATGATTTGGTAGTTCCGACAGTTTGGACGTGGGACCATGTAGGTCGTTTGGTCGAGTTGCAAAGAAAGAGAGAATATCAAAGTATTCAAGTTACTTTTATCTAGTGTGGGTACTTTAATGTTCAAGTCAGCGAGTTGTAGTTTTTGAGAGCTAGAAAGCAAGAGAAATAAAGAGCTAAAGAGCTTGAGTGCTAAATAGCACGTACCTCATGAGGTTGGAGGTGAGGGCCTTATATAGGTGAGTTGTTGTGATCCTTACGAAATGCATCCGAGATCTTTAGTTCATCCGTTCGGAAGTGAACTCCGTTTAAGCAGGTAATGTCTATCTAATCCCGTGCAAAACGAGTGAGGTGATAACCATATCTTCTAACGTGGTGTCATAATTTCAAGGAATTCGGAAGCGATTGACCACTTAAGGGAGATGTCACTCAGCACGTCAGGCAGGTCACCAACCGGGGCTAAGGCAATTCAGTGAAAGCAAGTCGCCTCTTACAGTTTGGCCCACTAGCGTGGTGCTAAAGTCACTGATGCAGTTACAGAATGTCCGAAATGGTCTATTTACGTGGTGCCGAAGTGTCACCCAACTATTTTACGATGTTATGTGTTATGATGTGATTGTAGGACAAAATTACCCTCATCAATTTGTTATGATCATTTAATTGATGATTATGTTGTTGAAGACTCCCCACGTCCACGAGAGTGAATGCCTGAATTGAATTCAAACAAGTTAAAAAGCAGAAGATTCAATCAAAACTATCCTGATTCCCGAATAATCGATTAAAGTAACTATTAACCAGGAGGTAACTTTCTCTGATAACCAATTTATAAAGCTAATTACACTAGCTGAGCTTCAACATAAGCAATATTTTAAGCTGTAATTAATGCTCAGTTTACATATAAATATGTACAGTGGAAAACCTTGTATTTTGTATCGTTTGATATGTATTTGGACTGTATATATAATTAATTAAGGGGGAGGTGGTGAGGAAGACCTGGTAATTAATTAATTAAGTGGAGTTTTTCTGACGCGTTCCACCAACTCCATAAACAATATGTACCCAGACTTTAGACTGTATACTGTAGACTTGGTTTTCGTCCAAAAGAAGCGGACAGCATATATAATTGAAGTAGCCTTATCCACAGGTAGTGACGGGTGGTGGTGTAGTTTTTATATATACAAATTAATTGATTATATACCTACAGTTAATCATTCTTTGACAAAGTAAGCTCGAGGTCTTCTTCCCTGAACCGGTTGCTCCTACCCAACTTCCTAAGCTCTTTTCATTTCCAACATGACTAGTTTTCTCTTTCTTCAATAATTTACCTAGGAAAAGTACACCACAACAGGGATACTTTGGTCAATAAACTGTCTCTTGTACCTTTTCTCATATAGAAGATATGAGTTAAGAGATTGAAGAGGTATACTTGTAGATGTAGATTGAGAACTGGTCCACGGCAGCTCCAGTTTTCAAAGGTTCAGTCCTCACTTTTAAATTTCATCTATGAATAAGTAAATGAACAAATAAGGTAGTGGACTATGTGACGCGGTCTTTCTGCTGCAACCAAGAAGATATATGGCCTAGAGACGTGGAAACAAGAAAAAGGCAAATAGATAAAAAGAAAAGAAAAAGCTTCTCTCCATCCCAGACTCAGCTAGCTCCAGATTAGTCTATAAATAGCATAGCGGCATCAGTTGGTTTGGAAGAGCAACCAACATATTTCTTGGCAAACCAAGTAAGATCTAGAGTCGGTCACAGTGTCTCTCAGCAGAAATGGCTATTGGGTTAATCAACAATACTATCCTGAAAGCTTCTCCTGTATCAGATATAGATTGCCCCGCCTCCAACACTCTGGTACCTCTTACCATCTTTGACAAAGCCGCCTTCGATCTCCATGTCGCCGTCCTGTACGCCTTCCGGCCACCCATGCCTTCTAATGAAGTCATGAAAGATGGCCTCGCCAAAGCCCTCGTTCACTATCCCCACCTGGCCGGTAGGTTCACCACCGACGAGCACGGCCGCCCTTGTATCATTCTAAACAACGCCGGCGTCCGGGTTATTGAGACTTACGTGCCAACCGCCCTGGCTGAGCAGCTCCCCTTTACCCCTTCTTCTGAGATGAGCCACCTCCTCCCACCCCTAGAAGGTGTCGAACCGTTGCTCCAAATTCAACTCAACCGCTATGCCTGTGGTGGCCTAGTGATAGGCCAAACTGCCCACCACCATGTCTGCGATGGTCAGTCCATGAGCTCCTTCTTCATCTCATGGGCTAAGTTGGTGCGTGGACTCAACCTCGAATCACTTCCTTATCACGACCGAGCTGCTGTTTCCGTCCCAAGAAACCCACCCAGAACTGAATTCGACCACCGTTCTATCGAATTCAGAAAGAGCGCGGCCTCAAACAACAACGAGTTCCTATCCTCTATCGTGAACTTGACCCTTCATCTGTCGCCCGGTTTCATAACCAAGCTCAAACAAAAAGTGAGCCAGGGAAACCAACGATACAGCACTTTCGAGTGCCTTCTCTCTCACATGTGGAAGAAGATTACACAGGCTCGAGGCCTCCCACCGGAAGAGCTCAGCCAAGTGAGGGTGGCGGTGAATGGCCGAGCTCGGATGAAGCCACAGGTGCCGATGGAGTACTTCGGCAACTTGGTGCTCTGGGCGTACCCAAAGCTGAAGGCAAAGGAGTTATTAAACGAGAGCCATGCATACATCGCCAAAGCAATCCACGATGCAGTGGCTCGGGTGGATAATCAGTATTTCCAGTCATTTATCGATTTCGGAGAGCTATCGAAGGGAGAAGAAGAAGAAAAAGAGTTGGTCGCGACGGCGCCTGAAGTCGGGAACGCGCTGTGTCCCAACTTGGAGGTGGATAGCTGGTTGAGGTTCCAGTTTCATGATCTGGACTTCGGTGGCGGAGGACCTTGTGCTTTCATCCCTCCAGACTTGCCAGTTGAAGGCTTACTAATCTTCGTTCCTTCCTGCAAGGAGAAAGGTGGGGTTGATGTCTTCCTTGCTCTTTTACACCACCATGTCCAATACTTCAAAGAAATCTGCTACTCTTTGGATTGAAGCTAAGCTGCAGCAAAGGATCGAGGAACTCTACCTTTAAGCCAAGATGTCTTAAGTTTTTTTCTTTTTCTTTTAACTTCCTCTTTTCTTCTTTTGAGTGTAAGATATATGAATTATTATTTATTTCTTCATGCGTTATAGTCTATGTACTCGATCATCACATGGGTACTGTATTGTCTATTACTATATATGTATGGTCACAACAAATTTAAGGAAATATGATTAATTATGAATTATACATAGTTATAATATATCAGACTTCAATTTCACACTTGCTGTCAGCTGCGAGCTCACATCGTCTGTCTGTCCACTAGTCCTATCCAATGAAATACTGCCACGACACCTATTTATTTGAAACTCAAATTTAAGTGAGTCCAGACTTAAACGGCCGTCGGGACTCCAAAAATCATCTTAAATTTTATTAACCCGCTCAATTTTAATGAATTCCTCCTTTCTTTTTTTTCTTCACCGCCACTACAACAAACTGCCGTATCTCTTCCTCCTCCAGTCCTCCTTTCTCTCGAGGTGACTGTTGAGAAGCGATCTTAATAAAAACAAGATGATGGAATTCTGGCGAAATGTTTCTTTGCTTCTAACACTCCTAGTCAGGATGCTATACTGTTGCTTTGTCCATATGGCTAAGGAATTGGGTTTCCTCTGTAATCCTCTTATTACAGAAAAAAAAAATGTAAATTATTGAAACCTTTCCTAAAGTTTGATAATTCTAAGTAGACTCCTCTATTAAAATATGTATACAGTTATTATTGAGCTGGTTCTATAGAAAAAAAATGCAAACTTTATTAAAATAAAAGAAAAGAGAATTTAAAATTGCATCTTTACCTTTGAGTGAACGAAATAAAGGATAATATTGGAAAATAAATCAATTTCAAAAAAGAGATCGGAAGGATTTGGGTAGCGATTCATATGTAGAGAAAACTTGAAAAATAAACATTTTGGTCAAAGTATATTTTGAACATTTTCCTACCTCCCTTTAGAGGTTTCTATAGGAATCTACTTACAACTATGTGAGAAAGTTCAGGAAAGGTGATTGCAATTAATAAGCTTCAAGGAAGGTTTTAGCAATAACCTAAAATTTCAGGGGAGGTTTCAGCAATTTACCCTATTTTAAATTATACAATATACCTCATCATCTAACTCATCATGAATGACATGATATTTTATTTTAAAAATATCACTTTGTTGGTTTCAAAAACTTAAAACCAACTTGCTTTTCACAAGAAAACAAAAACACAGTTTTTTTTTTTTTTTTTTTTTTTTATGTATGGCTCAGTAACTCAGTTTGAGAGAGTATAAATACAAATATGTGCACTGCAAATACAAATTTTACAATACAATATGCAAGGTTTTGCATTGCACATATTTGTATTTGCACCCTTACCAAACTGAGTCATTGGAAAGAATACAAATGCAAATATGTACAGTGCAAATGCATGCAAAATACAATGTTTTATATTCTACATATATTTGTATTTGTAATCCTTCCAAACTGAACTTATTTGCATCTGTACTCTTTCCAAACTGAGCCTAAATAACAAAATCACAGTTCAAGAATATATATATATATATATATATATATATATATATATATTTTAATTATTTGGTGATGTAGCAAATTCATAAACAACACACGCGTCCTTAATTTAGGCTGCGTTTGGTTGCAATGCAAACTAAAATATGTACATTATATATTTATCCTCTTTTCGGTTCATGAGTGCAAATATGATTCAGATTTTAAACCGTTTTTGCACTCATATTGTTTGTTTGAAACCGGTACCAAGTGTGGGCCACACCATTAAATGCTCCAACTACCTTATTCTCCAATGCATTAAATTCAGTTAAAAAGTTGATTATCAAAAGAATTCATAATTGTATCTAAAAAATAGATACAACAATACTCTCTTTCTTAACTACAAAAATGTTAGAAAATATATTTTTAATTTGATAATCACAATAGATAACTACCCCGATTCGACCTTTGTATGCGAACAAACGGAGCATCAATGGAATCACCTGTTCGACGGGGAAGAGGAGGAAGCATTTTGAACCAGCAAGAATTCAGCATATGCAGCTGTGCAACAATCAAGAAAAAACACCAGTTCAGGGCTACCGGTCAAAAGATACAGAGAGTTGCTCAATCACATCAACCAACGCTTTAATTTGCCTGCATTTCTTATAAACACATGTTCGAATGAATGTATTTTTCTATTGTTTTGTCTGTAAGTTACGCTACGCAAATGAACGAATCTTTTATAAAATTAATCTTTTGACATAGAAGTTTGGTAGGCAAGAATATTATATGTGATAACATAGAGAAGTTACCAAATAACAATCAACATGTTTTGTTTTTCATCTTTACTCAATAGTTTAAAGGTGTTCGATTATGCCTTTAGTTAGACAACAAACTGAAGGTGGGATCTTTGGCAGATTTGATTACGTAGTTAGTATTGGATCTTCAACTGACCATAACTGATTCAATTTTCTTATGGGTCCGATTGGTGCCTATTGTTTTAAGTTGTATTTTAATTCCGACCAAAATTTACATGGAAGTTGGTTAAGAGTAATTAATCCAAAAACTGAGCTTTCAGGGCCCAAAAAACAAATAGGTTTTTCAGCATTTTTGTTTAATTTGAGCTTTTGGTCTTTTATTTCAGGTTTTGCATTTGTGCTATTAACCTTCTCTTGATTTTATTCTGCTGAATGTTGGGAGCTGAAAAAGTCAGATGCTTCAGTCTTGGTTTTAAAACCTTGGCTTCAATTAAAGTTTCGTCAGATTTGGGTTGGTTCAATTGGAGCTTATAAGCTTTTTGGGTTTGGCAAAAGCCGCAAAACCTCAACGTTGCATCGCGTTAATTTCAGGAATTGGTTATTAGGACACTCATGGAAATACAAAAAGATAGGAAGGATGAAGGTATCAGCAAGATTTTGAAAATTTCTAAAAATCTAATTGTTTTGGCTAAATTTTGAGACTTAGGCTGCGTTTGGTTGCAACGTAGATGAAAATATGTACCCTGCATATTTACTCTCTTTTAGGTTCATCAATGCAAAATGTAACTCATTTTTTGTATTCTTCATGTTTGTTTGAAATTGGTGTAAAACGTGGGTCCCATCACTAAAATGCCTTTTTTTTTGTCAAGTACACTATTTATCAGAAGAGCACAAGTTTGTATCCAAAAACTGAGTACGTGTGCTCTTCTCACAATTAAGGTTCAAAGTATCGATACGTGTCGATGGCTTTCCGATATGCCCCTACAGAGGTTGTATCGGGTCAGCCACTAGCTCAGAGGGTAGGTGGACCTTAAACTGGCCTGTCTGAACCGATTTCAAAAAAAAAATAAGTAAAACTAAAAAAGCCACTGACATACAACATATCGGCCAATGTTGATACTTTGGACCTTGTTCACGGTACAAAGATGTTAGGAAAAACATTTTTGACATCTTAATCATTACGTTTTTGTATGGCAACCAAATGCTCACAATTGCAAACCGGGATACATAAATACTCCGGTTCGGCATTTGTATTGGAAACAAACGGAGCCTTAACTTTTAAAGTCTCATGACCGCATAAATGGGCCAAGGCCAACAACATAGGCTTTGAGAGGGTTTTTAGGCTCACGCCCATGTCTTTCATTGTTATCAAAATAAAATAGGAAACAATTACTTAAAGGGCAAATTTCTTAAACTACCCTTATGATTTAGCTAGACCTGTTCATGGGCCGGGCCGGGCCGGGCTTTCACTTGTCACTAATGAAAATATATTAGGCCCGAGCCCGAGCCCGGCCCTGATAAAAGCCCGAAGCCCGAGCCCGAGCCCGAAGCCCGACCTAATTGAAAAAAAAAATAATTTTTCTTATTCAAATTAGAATTAAAAATTCAAATAGTATTTTTTTCTATTTAAATGAACAATGGGCCTACAATATGGTATTTTTTCCCTTTCTTTTATATTTTAAAACACAATTTTACATTATTAAATCAAAAAATTTATTCAAATGGACATAATCACATAACTCATTTTAAGTTTAATATTAGGTCGGGCCAGGCCGGGTTATTTTGGCAAAGCCCGAGCCCGGCCAAATTTTATGCGGGCCGGGCTTTTTGGCCTGAGGTTAAGCCCGCGGGCCAAAAAGCCTGTTCAAGCCCGTCCGGAAGCCGGGCTGGCCCGTTGGACCACCCGGCCCGTGAACAGGTCTAGATTTAGCTAATTGACTAACTCTACTCTTATTCTTTAATTATTGTCTTGCACAGTTGCACTACCTGTACTATTTCTAACAATTGACATCGATGTAAAGGGCTAACAAGAAAAATAATGAAATGTCAAATTTGTCCACTATTTCTCAAATTTTTAAAATAAAATGCAACTGATAAAAAATTCAAGAAGATATGAAACAGATCACTGCTTCATCTCCGCCTAAAATTCCCTTCAGGAAGATATAAAGTGATGGTGCGTGCATATGTGTTTTATTTTCTTGTTAAGAGTGCCTCACGGTTTCCTTCGTCGCAACTTGTCACCATTTGGGGGTGCCTTGTCACCCTTTAATTTTTTGGGGTTTTTACCATTCAGTCCACCCCAGAAATCATAGTTCAACTGTATAGTTTAGGGTAGGATTCAGCTCGGAATTGATGCTAATTCATAGACGGGTATGGGTGTTATAGCTTTATAGGTGGAGTTATTTATAAATTTGAATTGTTGTAAGTCTGCAGTTCAAATCAGAATTACGAGGGGGAGTGCAGTCCTGATTCCAACTGTAACTTCAATCTTGAAGGAAAAAGAGAGATACCATCACAGGACCCATCCATCCTACAGGCTACAGCAACTGGACCCCATTACAATACCGAAAAGAACAGAGCCATAAGAGACCAGAACCGAGAGATCCATGAGATGCCTGAACAATAACTCGGACACGTTGCAAAAATCGTTTCCTCAATCCATCTTCTTGGACTCCCATTCAACCTTTCCCTCTTTCTTTCCTCTTTCAAAAGCCCTCCTAACAAATTTCTCACCACCCCAAAAAGAAAAGAGGAACAAGACTTTTAGAAACCGTGACATCTCTCTCCACTAATTCCTAAAGAGACAGGCATCTTGAGTCTTCAACCTTTTCTTCAGTTCTCACAATCATGTTCACAGCCCGTTAAAATCCATCATCACTTTCCTTCTGGTCTTGTTATCAGTTCTGAACATTACTCTCCAGAAATCATTGAACAATAAATAGTGAGTAAATGATGGGAGGAAATCGACAATGTTGATATGAACAATAATACTTGGACCTCCATTAAAACCATTATTTGGATTCCTCATGGAAATGTTTAACTATCCAAGAATAGAAGGCACACACAATCACGAGCATCAACTCAGTTTGTTGCATCTTCCATTTTTAAATTACTATTACAAGCAATAACCATGAACCAAACTCTTCTTCCCAATTCTTTAGACCCACTGCTCCATTTACTCTTATTATTCGCTCATCATCTGAGTACACGTAGATAACCTTTTCTCCAATCATAAGCATGCGGCACTACATAAATGTCTAGTACTACTGACTTGTAGAATCACCACCCACACACCACACTAACATCTAACTCATGCAAGGTTTTAAAAACATCTAAAGGAGAACTGAGGAATAAATTAATGCAGGGTTTTAATCAGTGCTTCTACCCATCTACCATCCCAATTCCCATAAGCATTCAATTTACTTGGATTAAGATTGATATTCATAATCGTTGCTCCAAAACAAGGAGACAAGCAGTCTGGGAAGCGTTTCTCTCGAAAAAGGGATTATAGCTGAGAATTTACACCGGTTTTGCGTTCTTTTCCTTCAGTCTTTATTTACATATTATATATTTGACTGAATCCAGGGTCAGAACCCAAATGTGTTCTCACCACTGTAGGTCATGTAGAGGAAACCATCTTCATCCTTGTTCTCCTCATAGATCGCAGACATCATTGCAGCTGCAAGACACGAGCGATTGGTTTTTACATTACTAATGCTAATTACCCATATATATATACAAGACATTCAAATTAGAAACATAACCGTGAAGATAATATGACATCTGTCTCACCAGTGGGCGGTAAAATATTCTTGACAAAGATGAATATGGCCTTCTCAGCGCTAAGCTTTATCCTCTTCCGGACAACATAAACAAACTGCCCAACTGTCAAATCAGCAGGAACAAGATACCTGCATTCACAACCAGAAGGGGGTATACATATTAGCAAAAACAACTAAAAAAACTTACAGATAGAAGTCTAGCCAAATGAGGGAAACATGTAGAATCAAACCTTGACCAAACAAACATATGTTTCGTTTACCGCATTGTATACACATAATATTATCTGCTTATTCCAATATTAAAAAAAAAAAAAAAAAAAAAAAACTTATTTTCATGGTTTTAATTCAAGCACCCCTGGGCCTTCGATGGTGGGGGAACTTTTAGAGATCATAATGGCAACGTCTTACCAAGCATTCTGGACCCTATTGGTGAATGTATTTTGCACAGCACAAGCTCTTTCACAAGCCCTATACAGCCTACCTTCAGGTTAGAGTAGACTAGAATCTGGATTGATAATTCATTGGTTGGTTGGAGGTCTTCAGCTGCAAAAGATCTTTGGTCTCTTAGATTTGTAACTGAGAGGTGCAATATCATTTCTTATCTCTATGAACAGATCGTTCAGGTTTAGCTATCCCACTTGGTAGAGAGGTGCAATATCATTGAACCTTTAATACAGCCCCAGGCCCAGAGGATAAGTTCTTGTCTGTTCAGCCATATGCTGTTCTGTACATTGGTTGTGTATTTTATATCAGCCGTTTAAGTTCCCTCCTATTATTTTACCTATTGATCAGGATCTATCTTTTATCATTCATCATAATCATCCAAGCCTTATCCCAACTAAATGGAGTTGACAACATGAATCCGGTTGCACCATCCCATTTTGTTTAATGCCATATCCACTGTTAAATTATGGGCACTTAAATCATTTCTAACTACTTCAACCCAGTCCTTTTTTGTCTACCCCTAGCCCTTCTAGTCCCAATAACTTGCAACAAATCTATTCTTCTAGGTGCTTTTGGTGGTCTTCCATGCATGTGACAATACCATCTTAGTCAATTTTCTATCATCTTATCACCTATTGGAGCTATTCAGTTCTCTCTCTCTCTCTCTCTCTCTCTCTCTCTCTCTCTCTCTCTCTCTCGACCAAAGAGTAACTGAGGTTATATTAAAAGTAAGAGATACACGAGAAGATGTACATCAAGGAGCAAAACAAGGAAACAAAGATTACAAAGGAAGAGCATTATCACTAAATAAAAATTCTCTATGAGCACCAGATTCAGCTAACCCATCCAGTTCCCTGGAGATAGCTCAGCTTTACCTGCATCAAGCCCATAATGTCTCTAGCTTCAGCAAAAAAATGGGCCAAACTCCAAGGCCCGCTGTCTTTTTTCCTTTAGCCATCTTATCATATTAGCAGAATCATCCTCAACAGCTAGAAAGAAAATACCTAACAATTTAGCATAGCAAAGCCCCATGAGGGTTGCCACTATTTCTGCCTTTGTAGAGTTAGCATTTCCAATCTCTATCCTGGATTATACCTCCAATCCTGCTAGACTGGAAGACCCTTGGACACTCCCATCAAAACTTAATTCTCATCATTCCTTCCTCCCATTGACAGCAGTGGATAAGAGCAGCCTGACTTGGGGAACAGAAAAAGATTTCCACTAAGTTTTTTTGTAGATCATTCAAAGAGAACCCAGCAAACACTCCAGAATTTACAGCCCAAAGGTTGCAAAGGAAAGTAATAGAGGAGACCAGATCTACTGTTCCAGCTTTTGTTCTCAAAAACCCTGTTGTTTCTTTCTTCCCACAGACCCCACATAACAGCTTGAGATACCAATCTCCAATACAGCTTGCCTCTTCTGCCTAATCCTGGATGTATCTCTGACTGTGCAGTATACAAGCATACATATATGTGCACGTGCATGCAAGAGAGAGAGAAATCAAATAACACAAAGAAGCAATCTTCAACAATAAGAAACAATAAACAGTATAGACCTGTTCACGGGCCGTGCTTCAGGCCCAATTTTACACTGTCACAGGCTCGGGCTTCGGGCCGGGCCCATTAGAATTTTGACAAAAGCCAAGCCCGAGCCCAGCCCATGAACAGGTCGAAAACAGTAAGATATCCACTTGTCAAATTTGTCATTGTAGATAATTTGATGCTGCCGTGCTGGCAACAAATTTGAAAGATCTTAATCTAACTTGATGGTAATTAAGACCATGGCTAATGACACCAAAATAAATACACGTTTTGACCTCAAGCTTGGACAGGAATTTGAAGAAACTTGATTTCTTCCATGGCCATTAATTGCATTGAAGGAGAAACTAAAAGGTAATATACTGTTATTACTTTTCAATACAAGTTTTGGCCTCTTAAAATGTATCTAGTGGCACCGAATAGCTATTAATTGCAATTAAGGAGAAACTAAAAGGTATATAATATTAATATACTTGTACTACTTTTCAAATATGTAGCCATCAGAAGTTCAGAACAAAAATAATACAAAGTCAATATGTTGAAATGGAAGTTGTGTAAGTAGGGAAAAGAATAGCAATGAAAGAGAATATAAGACATAAACAATTCAAATATATTACATATGAAACCCAAGGCAAAAGATACTACTAACTTTTTCTTATCTATGTCAGGAATGTCACTCCTTTCAGCCTTCTCCACAATTACCTACATAGTAAAATCAAAGGTAAGCAATCAAACTACACAAAATCAGGAAAAGTAAGAGATTAAAAAAAATTCTTGATCAGTAAGTAGTTAGGTTTTTACTGGTATTCTATCAGGATACTTCTCTCTGATACGAGCAGCTTCTGCCTGCCTCCTCTCTGGCATGTAGAAGCACATAAACTTCAAAACATACATAACTTCAAAGCATGTTAACTAGGAAACAAGAAAAGGGCAAGGCGAGGAGTTACACATTGACATATTATTGTTTTCTTGCTTGTGCATTGAGGTATAAGCAGCTGGTAGGTGGTCAGAAAATTTAAATCCTATTCCAGGATTTAAAAAAATAAAAAGAAAAAGAAAAGAAACTAAGATGTTTGGTCCATCTTACCCAAATTTCCCGTGTTTCAGAACACAGAGATGCAACTCCAGGCAATAAACACCCAAGCTCATGCTCATGCAACACTGGTCAATATACTGGTCAATCCCCTCCAAATTACATAACAGCATCAGGGGTAAGGGTAGGATTTTTTATTTGAGTGGGCCAAAACCTAACATACATAGATTGGGGAGGTGGGGGAAAATAAACATGGATGGGGCCAGGGGGCAACCAGGGGAGGAGGGGGAACATACATGGATGGGGGCATAATATAAGTGGGGATTTTGGGGCATGGGGGATGGCTCCCCCGGGCTCTGCCCCCAAACATCATGGTTACATCTTCAAGTGTTGTTTTATTCAATCAAAATAATAAACTAATTTCAAGAGAGGTGATGAGCAATGTTTTGAAAATCGTAATTGTATCATAAATCGTGGAGAAAGTTTAAACAAATCGATCCGTATCGTAAATCATAAGATTATTTCTATTTTTTACAAACTTGTCAAAAAATAAAATATAGATATGCTAAGAGGCTAAATATATATAGGAGAGTGATATTACTCTGTCTTTAATCTATATCTACCATATATGTACCTAAAACAATAGAATTTACCACTTATACAATAGAAGCCTAAGATGATATAATCAAATTGGACTTGAAAATCAAGCAAATCTACATACAACGGCTCTTTAACCTACATATATGGAAAATAAACTCAATTTCTTGTCTTAAATAACATAAAACAGGGCACAACTCGAGAGACACTATTTTGGGCTGAGTTGTAATTTTGTATTAGTACACATGTACATTTTGCTTTAAATTCTGTTTTTTAAGATTTTATGTGCATCATGTTTGGAAATGCAGCATCTCGCGCCTTCCCAAGGGAATGATTATATAACTTCTTTCTGATTTAATGGAAATATGATATTTTATCTATAACAAAATAAATAGTTTTCTAGTAAGGGCTTTAAAAAAGTCTCCCTTGAGAAAACTAAATATAAACAAAAAAAAAACAAAGTAGAGAACTAATTCTTAATTGAGTTTATTGAATAGTAGTGAATCATATATAAATTGTAAGATTATGAATCAAATCATAGGATTCAAACAAAAATCGTAAGGTTTTTGCAGAAAAGGATTCAGACATAAGATTCGAACCAAGACCCTTGGGGTTCATGATTTGAATCATGAATCGTAAGATTTTGACAACATTACTGATGAGAAGTAGATTCCTCAGGCAAACCTTCCAGTCAAAGGAATTATTTCTGTTTTCAACAAAATAAAATAAATTAAAATGAGTTGCCTCCTTGTCATAGTTAATAAGTTTTCCATATTTCATTCTCTTATATCCTAGATCAAGTTGTGGTGACGAGAGGATAAACACCAATCCTTAAGTGAAGTTCATGGTTTGAAGAGCTAATTGATATATAGGAAATATGAGTGACTTGGAATGTACTCGTAAGCTTCATATTGACTTCTAATTTCCCAAAATATATTTCAAGTTATGCATTTTCATAATACTCCGTTCTAATAATGAAATTCCTGGAAACTGATCATATTTCCTACAATGTATATTTCACCTTAGAGCTACCCAATATCTTATTCTTTTTTTTTTTTTGGTAGAAGGATGAAAATTTCATCCTTGTTGTCGGTCAGTTTGTATTCTCTTTTGGTTAACATAGAGCTACCCAGCAGTTCAACAACATAGTTTATCATACCTCCTAACTTATTTAGTAAACAGAGAACATGAAAAGAGTCACTTCAACAATGCCAGTTAACAATATCATGATTTCTTCCATTTAATGTGAATATATTGATAAAATTCAGCAAGATTGATATTGGAATAACGAAAAAGGGGAAAAGAAGATTAACAGATGAAAGTTCCTGCAGATTGCATTCCCCCCGGCTAAACCAAGAACAATGCCATATGCATTTTCTAACTTCTTAAAAAATTGAAAATTTCCCAATATATTTAAGAAATGCTCCATGATTTTTCAAGATTGGGGGTGTGTTAAGTTCCTCACCTAAGGTACAACGAAGTAAAAATCCACCACTCAAATTTTACATATGGATAGGAGTAATCAGCTGAAGTAAGAAATGCAACTCGGTGCCATAGGTATGCACATGCAAAAGGCGAAATATTGAGATACTCGGAACAAATTTATCACAATAGCCGTGTATATACTAGGATCCAAGAAACCTTTAGCCATCCACCCAATTATTTAGAAAAAAAAGGGGTGAGTGGTGCAAAATTCTGAACGAAAAGAAAGAACAGAAACAAAGCCCTCTATAATTCATGGTACTCATATTGCGCGGTTGCTTTAGAAACAACTAAAATTCAAGAACAAAGCCCAACAAGGAAAAAGGTAAGAAAAACTGAAGAAACTCAAAACTAGAAAAAGCACAAACCCAGAGGATGTTCCAACTTGAAGGAGCTTTTGGCCATGGCAAGACTGCTGGTGCGACTGTTCTCTGCGAATTTCAAACATCGAAAGAACATAACAGACGGATCAACCAAAAGATAATCATAAACACATGAAACGATAATGAAACAGTCAAACCAAGGCTTGTTGAGAGAGGAAAAAAAATTAAATCTTAATCCTACCAAGACGAAGACGAAGACGGGAAAGAAGGACTGGCGTGCGACTTTAGGATTTGAAATGGAGCAGAAGAATGATGTGAGAAAAGAAAAATCTCGGCTGTCAAAATCAAAAAGAGGAGAAATTAGGAAACGTGGTGGTGTTGATGTAAAGGGAAGGACTTAGGGGAGAAATTAGGGTTTCCGATGCCAACACGAAACCGAAAGCAACAGCAAACGGGACCTTAATTGCCTGCTAAAGAAGCAAGCGGAGGGTGGTTCCTCTCCCTCCCTTCCTTCTCTTCTTCTTCGCTGAATTTCTTCCTCCTCAAAATAATAAAAGAAGCGGTAATAAGCTTCAAACGATAAACTGATAAAGCGTTTATATAACATCTACTGAACACTGGAATCGTGTCACGGAGGGAAGGATGATGTACGTATAGAGTGAAATCAGTGAACAGGGAACACTAACCAAAGTAGTGGGAGTGGGACCCAATCCACTGCTAAGAGATGCCCTGGTTACTTTTGGATTAGAATTTTATAAGATTTTCTTATAGACAGTTTGCGCCGTCTGATTGGAATATTTTTCTTTTTTGGATTAGAACATTTTTTTGTTAAAAAAAATGGTGTTTTTTGTCTTTTTGAAAATTTTGGCTGGGATCAATGAAAATATAAAAGGCAAAGGACAAGACAAAAAAAAAGGAAGATAAAAATATCCCAAGTTCAGGCAATATTTGTTTTGTTCAGCTGAACCAACCTGGACTGACCAACGAACCAAAGTTGTGATCAAGGTTCAAAAAATCAACATGTATCGAGAGCACGATATACCCTTGCAGAGGGTGTATCGGAGTTCTGACTGGTTAAGGGGGTGAAGGAACCTTAAACTAGCTCCCTTAACTGATTTTGAAAAAAAAAATAAAAAAGTATCGATATTGCCCAATACACCATTACCGGCATACATCGGGAGTATCAATATTTAAAACTTTGATTGTGACTGGTTATATGATATTGGTTCACACAAATGACAATAATTGTGATGCAACACTTAAAAATAGGTTCAAAATTAAAAAAATAAATAATAATAATAATAATAATAATAATAATAAAGCAAACTTGGTACATTGAACCGCCATTGAATAGAACATTTTTAGGGGTGGTCATGGCTGGGCCCGGCCCATCTGGTCTTTGGGTATATATATTAAAAATTATGTTATACTTTATATAATATACAATCTATACTATATTATAAAGCCGTTAAGTCCCACGTCAGCAGCAGCTCTTTCTTTTTCTTATTCCCCCTTCTCTCTTTTCTCCTTAAACCTCTCTACTTTCTTCCTTATCAGTTTCTAATCCTTCCATGTAGCCACGTGGCATCCCTCTCTTTAACACTAGAGCCCCACTCCAAAATTTTCTCTCTCATGTCCCCAATCACTTAGCCAACCCCTTCATAAAATTTCTAATAAATTATCTCTCCCACCAAAAATTCTTCCTAAAACACCTCTTAATCTATATTGCCCATGGCACCCCTATCTTCTTCACTACAGTTCAACTCCAACTCTCTCTCTCTCTCTCTCTCTCTCTCTCTCATGTCAACCCCCTCATAAAATTTCTCCACAACAATCTCTCCCATTTAAAATTCCTCCTAAAACACCTCTTAATCTATATTATAAACCATCTAAAAACCAAAAACGTGATTAAATTAATTTGTCAATTTTTTATATTTTCAATAATTATTGATATAATTGAATATTATTTAGTAGATATCAACACCTAAACTATAATTTTTCATAATTTTGATAAATTGAAAATTTTAATTACTAAGAATTACTTTATGAAAATTACTGATTTTGGTCATTTTTTTTGAAAATTAATTATTGAAATCAATAATTAATTAAAATATTAATAAATACAAATTTAATAATTAAAAATTCTCAGTAATTTTTAGCAATAAGTAGTTATTGATATTTTAAATAATTTTGGTCAATTTATTAATATTTAATGATATTATCAAATAATAATTAAAATTTTTTAGTGGAAATTTATTTTTTATATTTTCAGTAATTTTGAAATTTACTATAATTTTTGAGCAATAATTAGTGATTTTGTTAATTTAGTGAAAGTTAAATTACAAAACATTCATTTTTTCAAATAAATAATTGGAAAATTTTAATAATCTCCATAAGTATTGGATACTACATGTATAATTACCATAATTAATGGAACTATATTTATGGGTTTGGGGGTATCATGGATTTAGGGGATGACCCTCAGGGTAGGAATAGCAATGGGCAGGTTTAGGGCGGGGATCATACTCCCCATCCCAACCTTAGGGTTTTAAATTAATCCTTATAAAAAATTTTAGCATGCATCCCCGGTCCTCGACAGAGAGGGCTTCCCCATTGGGGATCTAAATCCCTGAATTTTTTAATTAAAAGTTTGTTTTTAGAAAGGTATTTATTTAAAATGCAAATAACAATTTAAATATATTTTGATATATATAGACAATATAAATAATATTATATACATAATATAATATATGTGCACGTATATTTAGTATATATAATCGGGGTTGGGGAAAGGTGTGGACTTCACTCCCCATCCCCAATCAGGTATTCCTATTAATCCCATCCCCACTTTGTCCCCGCCAAGACTCAAAATATCGATACGCTTGATACGTTAGTAAGGGCATATCAGGCTATATCAGTATTGTTTTTTTTTTTTCCAAAACCAGTTCAGGGAGCCGGTTTAAGGCACTTTCATCCCCTAAACCAGTCAGAACCCTGATACACCCTCAATAGGGGCGTATTGGGGAGCTCCTGAAATGATATGTATCAACTGATACGGGCTAATACATGTCGATACTCTGAACCTTGGTCCCCGCTGTCAATCTTCATTCCATCCCCGCCTGATCAGGGATGCCAGGTACTTGGTGGGGATAGAGAAAATTGCCATCCCTACCCCCAAGTTGTGTAACTCTATAGAATAACAAGTTTTAAATCCAATTTCATGCATTGCACGAGGGAATGCTAGTAATATATACATGATATTGGAAAGGCTTTGATCAATCAAAGCCCTTGAATGTTGATTTAAACCTACCTGATTGTTTACCGCTTGTCCACATTTATGATATCGGTTGATTGGTCTTTCTAGTATCATATCTTTACAATATCATAGCCGAACCAATATATATAAAATAAATTATGGGCCACAAAACCTAGGCCCAAGCTCGAAAATATCGAGACGAGGCTAGAAAATTATCACCCCTAATTTACACACTACCTTCACTAGTAATAGGCTGGCCAGTTTGCAAATTAACACTAATAGACCGGTTTGAGTTAATGAAACCATCTGGTTCATCATTAATATGTGTAATTTGTTTTTATTTTCTTTTGCTTCCAATATGTGTGATTTTGTTTATAAGAAAAAATGCTTCCACATCAACCAAAACACTATACACATATCCATCCATCCATCCATCCATACATACAAAAATGCATACATATATAAGGTTTCAATGGACCAATTTTGAATTGGACCTGGTTCAATCCATAATGAATTTATATTAGATTGGGTTGGATTGAACCAATATCTGGTCCATTAATAGAAGATAAGAATAATAGGTGTCAATGGACAAGGTTTGAGTTAGAAATAATCTAAAATTAAAACAAAACTGAACAGATTGGACAGTCCAGATATTGAATTGGACCGATCCAAAATGGTCCAAAATATCATTAGATTGGGTTGGACATGGTCCATTTGTAATGAATTCACATTGGACTGGATCAGATTGGACCAAATCCAATACAATTGACACTCCTATTAGCCAAGGTGGATAGGCCTCTAATTTTTCATACATTTTACAAGCAGGATCAAATTGCTTATTTGCTTAGGCATGTGGTGAAGGAATGGAGACAATATAGGAATCTTCCATGTGAAACCAAAGAAGGTCACAGATGTTTGCCACTGCTCTTTGACATATTTCAGCTCAGACAAAATGATTTCGAAAGTTAAAAGATTGAAAATTTGAGTACAGTTCGTATAAAGTAAGAAAACTCAGAACAAGGTGGAGGGGAGTGGAGACGGTGTTGTAGCGGCAAGAAGAGTGAACCTTTTTGGTAAATTCAAAGCCAAAAGCCGAAGGGTCCTCCCAAGTCCCAGCCAATGGGCACTTCAGTTCAGCCACAACTGATCCAAACTAGGAAGACTAGAAGTAGATGGGTGTGGTCGGTGGATCCAAACTAGGAAGCCTCACTATTTCTAATAAAGCTTTCAGAAAACAAACTTGGTTTCATCATTTGTTAGTATAAAATGTCTTGGGTCTTGGCGGAGGATCTGATTGTGGGCCTAGGCGCTAGGCCCCCATAATTTGCCAAGGATCATGTGTCCCATCTCTCGAGTCTTGTCTGTTCCAAGGAAACTTCCTCCATCTCCCAATTGATCAATAAATAGTTCGTACAGATAATTAGGCCAATTATTCCTAGGCTCAATTTGTTTGCTGTGCAAATTTCATTTGGATTGGAGTAAATGCATGATAATGGAGTGTAAAGTATGATTTACTTTTGCTTCCTTCTTATATTCATGAGAATGGAGATGGGAACAGGGTTATTTGTATGTATGGTAGGAAACAAGATAAAGTGGTTCCCACTTCCCATTATATATGAGAGAAAAATTGGGGTAAAAGGAAGGAGGTGCAATTTTTACATGCAAAACATGCAAATTTTGCAGCACAGATAAGGCAAATCTTAAGCTGTGTTTGGTTTGAAAGAAAAGGTAGGGAAATCTATACAAGATTTGTATAGATTTTCTACCTTTCCTTTCCTACCTTTTCCCTCAAACCAACCACAGCCTTAAACTCAGTTTGGAAGGAATACAAATACAACTATGTACAGTATAAATGTATATAAAATATAAGGATTTGCACTCTACATATTTGTATTTATACTCCTTCCAGACTGAGCCTTTGTATAAAATCTAGGGGTGCAATTTAGGCAGGCTCGATTGTGCTTTTGTCAAAATTTGAACGAATCTGAAACAGTGTAAAATGCTAACTCAGGTCAACCCGATTTGCACCCCTGTTAAAATCTAGTTACTTTTGCTTCAGATTTGACTATTATTTGTTTGTACAAAGTAAATTAGGAAATAATAATGTGGTTGGTGCTTTATATAAAACAGAATGTAGATAGGAGGAGGATTATTTGTATGTGAGTGAGGAGGCAAGAAGGATGCAAGATAATGTTATCTCCACTTTATACAAGAAAAAAAAATTGAGGTAGGAGGAAGGTGGTACTGATTTTAAATCTGTTTCTGAGATGCAAAAAAAAAAAAAAAATTGCAGAAGCCCTATTACAAAAGAAAAAATAAAAAAAAAACATGCACCGTTGCTTGGACAATTTTCATATAAGGA